TCAACCTGCGAGATTTCACAAGCTCACTTCTATCTGCTGCAAAACATCTCTCCAAATTTCTTGCCTCTGTGTACATGTGGGGGGTTAACTCGGGGCTTTGTTTCTCTGCAGCGCATGCTTCACCGTAGGGAGAGTAAGGGCAGGTTTGCAGCACCCACAGCGCGCGTATAGCAGCCTGCGGCGTCCCAACAGCAGGGTGAGGACTTCACCCTGGGGATCCAGGGAAAGCTGACTTGGGGAGGGAAGGGAGAAACTGCCTCCCCAAGCGCCAAGCTCAGCTGTAATTGCAAAGAGACGGAAGGTGGCCCCTAAACTTTTTCAAATAAATGTGCCCTTCAAGCTTACTTTGTGTGAGAATTTATCTGGTCTTGCTTGCAAATAAAATATTTATTTTTCCTCTTAGCTCTGTGCCTCTGTGTTGCCTCTGGAAACCAGGGATAAAGCAGTAAAATGAGACTTGTAATCTAGACAAGGTCTGATACAGACCTCCACTGCACTTATTAGATTGTATTGATTTGTCAGCAAACCCTGTAGGGTTTTTTTAATGAAAATTTACCTGTCTGGCTTGACCTGAGGGGGTAACGTTCAGATTTAATCCATTTCTGAGCCTGTGACTTTAGCAGAAAAGACAGATAAGTAAAATTTCCAGATATTTTTAAGATGGGGAGAAGGGAAATGAAGTGTGGTTGTTTTTTTTAAAAAAAGTCTCTCTCTTCCACAGGAAAAGGGAAAATTTGAGAGGGTAATTGAAACATCTGCAGTAACTATATGGAGCTAAGCTTTTTTTTTTTTTTTAGAAACCTTAAGAATGAGATGATGCAATCTGTTTAGCACATGGAATTACTGATAATACATTCATAACAGCATTATAAATTCTTTACTACAGGGTAATGATTAATGTATCTATTTTTAGTAGATAGAACTGTGCTGCCCATAAAGGTGTACAAATGTGTATTTTGTTTGCTGATATAGCTGTAAAATAAAAAAAAAAAAAATCTCTGAAGGTAGAAAGCATCAATGATACTAAGTTATAAGCAAAGTAGCTGAAAAATTGTATCCACAGTGCTCAGGAAGCATATGTAAATTGAAACCTAATGTTCCAGTGCAGATAGAGAAGGAATTCATATTTCTTGAGAGAAACACAAAAAACCAAGCATGACGCCCCATATATATATATATGTGTGTATATACTTTTTTATTAGATAGTAGTTTAAAATGACACAGTATTAAAAACCCTCTGTAAATTTTCCCTGCGATATATGAGAGGTAATTATCTTGAGCTATAGGTTGAAAAATGAAGAATTGAAGTACTTTAATCCTTCCAAATGCTTTCAGTTTATTAATAAAGTGCAATATCACTCCAAACATTATCTTATTGTTCAGGCAGAAAAATATTTACAGTGTAAGTTTCACTTTTTTTTTCCCCCTCATAATTTTTTCCATTCCAGATTTCTTCTTCCCTCCTTTTTCACATTGTTTGTTTTTTCCTGGAAAGTCTTTTTTCTGTTGTCCAGAGCCTGACATGTGTAGTCATTTATTTCTGCTGAACAAATCTAAAATTTGAATGGAGATCCCAACAACTTAATATTTCCCTCCAAAACCTACATTTCTGCTAGAGAATCTCTGCAAAATAGTCACCTTCCATTAGTTGATAAAAATGTTTGGAAACCTTGCAATTTTTTTTCATCATGTGAACATATTTATCCAACTTGCTAATTGCTGTTGTCATTGCCCAGGTGAAAAGCGTCTCCCAGGCATGTTCTCTTTGCAGCTTACCCATCCTTTTGGCAGCTCTGTTCCTCCTGCGCTCTGCTGGGAGCTCTAGCTTTCTCTTTCTTTCAACCCTAACTGAGGACTGAGCCCTAGACAAAGCCCCCTCAGCCATTAAAAATTTCTCACTGACAAGATCCCTTTGCTCTCTGCAGCTTCCTTTGGCAGCCCTTTGTCACGTTGGTGACCATGAATAAATGAGAAAATAGGCTTCTGCTGGAAAAAAAATTAAATTGTTTTACTGGGGGGAATTCCAGAGTCCAAAAAACTGCAGAAAGTGGATTTTTTTGCAGAATAAATGTATGGCTTTTTGGCTAAAACTGAGTAAGCTGTTGTAAGCAGGGTGAGATACCGTGGAGGTGGCGTGAGCCGCCAGGCCCTCGGCGGAGCACGTCCTGCTGCAGGTCCCTCCACTCCTGCTAACCCGCGTGGTCACTGGTGTCATGGAAGGAGTCAGCAAAGACCAAAGCGTGCCCTCCTAAACTGAAGCCGTGCACTACGTGAGGCCTCGAAGCAGCTGCTTTGCTGTCTGCAGTATTGCTAGAGCGCTCTGCTTTTTACCTGCTGGCGTCCACAGCTCTTCAACTGCAGTTAATGAGAGTCATTTGTACACTGTGAAGCGGGTTCAGAAGGTCACATGCAAAAGTGCTTTGGGTTCCTGTCTCCACACGGTCACCTGTGTGCAGAATAGCAATTTTAGCGTGTTCCTCTGACAAGCAGGACTGTTCAAGTCAGCTCTGATTCCTGTGCTGAAATTCCTAGGATTGGTTAATAGTTGGGTGTTGAAATTTGTTTATAGCTTGACTGTACTGCACAGGTAGGATTGCTTTTGCACTCTGCTAGAGCTTGTAAAGGTCAAAGTCTTGTGACTTAGATGGGCGGTTCAAATAATACAGTTTCATCCCATGTGTTGCTCCTAAACTGCTCTGGTTTTGTTGTGTATCTAATTTAAAAGGAACCGAAATTCTACATTATTTTGGGAGTAAGACCATACTACGTATTTTTGGGTTTGAATTCTGAAAAAAAGCCACCTGCTAGCAGGGCCAAACTACCTTAATTACAAGCATGACCGTTAATTATTTTTCCCTTGTATGTACTATACAATATTTAACTGTGATTGCTACTATCAGAGGGTACCACTGGTGAATTGGATGGCCATTCCTCCTTATGTCATGACTGAACTCTGGATACACATTAGGGGATGCAGGCTTTTTTTTTAAAGCAATGTCTCAAAAGTACTTACATCTGGCTCATTTAAGACAAGTAAGCCATTGTAGCAAACGAGTTAATGTTTTAATGTGGATGAAGTAGCCATGAGATGGGACAACAGCCAAGGAAAAGTACCCATTTCCTCTCTGTTGTATAACACCACACTTCTTTCACACCATGAAGAAGACAATGTCCACACAGTCTTGTCTTGACTTGAGATGAAACTTCTCAGGGAAGTTCCCCCTACTACCCATAGCACGTGAGGCAACTGGTGAGCTTGTGTGGCTTGTTCTTCCTTCCAGGTCCTTTTGCTGAAATTGTGACAAAGATGCCAATGGAAAAATTTCCCTCTGGTATTGCAGTGGCACGCAGCCCCAAAGGGTCTCAGAGCTCGCCTTGCATGAGGTGAGATTCCAAAGCAAAAGGAGTTTCTTGAATTCAGCCCCAGATTTTATTAATTTCAGTATTTTCCCGCCTGACAGCTTTTTGAATATAAATTCTCCACCAGAACAATGCATCCAGAGATGTTTGCTTACTGATAGGATGTATGGTGGTCTCTTCAGTCCCTCAACCTACTTGCAAAGGACTTCTGGAGTCGGTTTGATTAGATACCATTTAAGGAAGAGCCTGCCGTTTTCTACGCTTTTCAATGATGTCTGATGCTAACCAGTAGGACTCTGGAGTGGCAAGTTTTTCTTTTGTTCTGGAAAGCGAAGTACAAGTAGAGAATGTCACAGAGCAACGTTTCCTTCTTTTTATTCCCTTCAACAGTACCCCAGGTTAGTATTGCTTCTTGTTGTAGGGAGGATGCAGAGGTGTGCTGCTCTCCTTGCTTGGGGTGGCTTACACGTTACCTGCCTGAGAGTGTCATGAACGAGCCAGCCTGGTCTATGGTTACAGCAGGCAGGTCTATCATCCAGAGCAGTACGGAAGCTCCTCAGAAAGCCATGGTGATGTCCAGGTGGTGGTGTAACAGCAGTGTCCATTGAGAGTGAAAAAAGATGTGCCTTGCTCCTCAGCTGATGGAAGGTTGAAAGGTGCAACTTTGACCTGGTTACCCGTTAAAAACAAAAGCTGGAGGATGAACATGAGAGAGAGAGAGGTCTCTGAATATTGTGCGAATCCTTTCAGAGGGACAGAAGGCTTTATCCTCTATCAGTATGATCTCTGTGGTAGGACTGAACCTTTTAGGATGCAGTAATAGCATGTTATGTGGTTATAGCAGCTCCTTTCTCTGGGATTCTCAAAGCTTTTCAGAATAACTGATTCTCCTAGTGCTGTTGGGAGAACAAAAAGGCAGGTGTTGTTTTTGCACCATTCTTATGTTTGGGGAAATGGGAACAGAAAGCTTATCAGATATTTAGATGTCCTGAACTGCAAACAGGCACATCGATATCTTGATCTGTCTGGTCTGTGATAGTTAAGTTTATCTGGAAAGACTAGCTCCTGCTGCTTCTTCTGCAGGTTGAGACTGCATACTGAGATGATCCAACTGCTCAATATAGGAAAAAGATAGCCTCATAGAAAGAGAATGGGTAGGAATAGAGAAGTAAGGGTTAGGGAGCAGAACTGGCTTACTGTGCAGTCAGGCAAGCACTGAGCTAGTGCAAGGGAAGAAGAGTGGGACGTTTTGGTAGCATTTGGCCCTTTGATCACCTCCATCATATGGCTGAGGTATAGCTTATGTGGCTGCACTCTTATGTTAAGAACCATTTTATTTTCTTGATTCCCTCCCTGTGACCCAGGACAGATCCTTCCTTCCCACTTCTGGCAAGTGTTTCAACTGTCTGCTGTGTCTGTGGTGTTCTCATGTCTGGCTGAACAACACGGGGTTAATGAATGTACAGCACTCACAGTGAGATCAGGTCTGGTGGTGATGCTGGGAGAAAGTACGACGATATAACTAATCTTTAGATAACTGCATGCAAAGTGGATAACATCTGAAAAAAATCTATTCTTCCATGTTTATTTTAAACCTCAGAAAAGGCAAATGCATGTCTCTCTCTCTTCTCTCTTGGCAGAACCAGCTCCTTGCGAAAGGCTTGCTGTTTATAGAGGAGAAGGTTAAGCTGTGTGAAGGCAAGTATAGTAAGAAACCCATTTTGGAAGGGACTTGTGCTTTGATGTTTGGTCAGACAAGATGATTTGCAAGTCTGGAAAGCGTACAGCCCTTTCTGGTACTGTCTTAGGGCGTCACACAACCTTTCGGGAGTCAGGTTGCACTGCTTGTGAGGCTTAAGGGATGGCGGGCTGTTTGAATAGCCACGTAGCTGCAACACTCCCACCAGCCACGTCTTCATTGCGAGAGCAGGAACGGGGATCTTGTGTGGCAATTGAACCTGGGCTCAGAGTAGTTCTGGGCTGGACGTGGATCCTGTTGCAAAACTGCGGAGAGCTGCCTTCTGTCTTTTATTTCTTAATGTGATTTGCAGCTCGATGTAAGCACGATTTTGGTTACTGTGTCATGCTTTTGAGAGCTGAACTAACAGGCTTTGTGTAAATTTAAAGAAAAAAGAGTCACTTGGGTGGCAACGAAATCCTTCAGGAAAGAAGTTGATCACACATGAAGTTCTGTTCAAACCACTGGGGTGCAGACGCTTTTTACCACAGAGCCTGTGGACGCAGGCCAGCGTGGCGCAGCGGCTCTCAGTGTTGGATGTGTGGGGAGTTAGTCACGTTTATTAACAGTTTTTGCTCAAGCAGAGCGAGCTGTCTAGAGCACATGTCTTTATTCAAAACTAGGCTGCTGTTTGATTTGACCCAGTTTTGTAGCCTGTAGGGCAGAACCCTTGCTAATCACCAACCTGCTGCATCTGGGTCATTAAATGCCAATAGACACTTATAATCTCGCATCATTGTTGGTGCTGGATTCCTCCGCACCGTTCTTCACCAAGTGACTTCTCCACCCGGCCAGCAGGACTCGGACCCTGAAGGAGCTGTGCCATTGCCAGCCTTCTGCTTGGCGTGTGCTTCTTTGGCACTGGCCCTGTAAGAGAGGAAAAAAGGCAGACTCATGCATTTTCCCAAATGTGGGTACCTGCCCTGCCCTGCTGCTGCCAGCTCTTCAGAACGAGTGCTGCGCAGCTTACCATAGGTTTTGTTTTCTGTATTCATATAAAACTATTCCAATATCTGTTTTGGCATTATGAAAATTGAGTTCCAGTCTGTAATAATCTGAGAGCTGCCCGTGAGTAGTTTGCAGCTGCTCAAGTAGTTTGGGTAAGATGAAGTTTCCCAGGCAGACAGCAAAACCCTCTTCCTATGTCTCAGTTTTTTGTCCCTAGTTTGAAGTGACACTGGAGCCACTTTTCTCGTGCAGGCTGGCATCTCTGCAGGAGATGACTCACGGGCACCTTTCTTTCATAATGTGTAGGCTTGTTGCAGGTCTTGTGGTCACAGCAACAAGAACTTCTTGTACACGCTTCTCAGTTAGCTCTGTCTTCCTGGAAAATTTCTACTGTCCCAGTACTCAGAGATGGAATAATGTTCCTGCTGCAGGGCATGGCAATGTTTTACTGTGTCTGTTTTTCAAATCACAGCCTCTTATTTTGATGTGATTTTTCTTTATACAGTTTGTCAGAATCTCTTTCAATGCCTGTAGGATTTATGATTTCTTGAAGAAACAAACCATTCCCCCTTCCCCTTCAGAAGCAGAAGTGATCTATGACGTTTCGTTCTGGCTCCACACACCAAAGCCTTGCAGTCCTGGGGAGGAGGCAGAGGAGGGAAAAATTTAAACATTCAATTAGTCTGTTTCCTGTTGTCTTTTTCACTTACAGTTGGCCGTTTCTGGTAACGGGTAGCTGTTATGGGGGTGTTGGGTAGGTGTTCGTCTGCCTGCAGTTCCAGTTTTGAAGCTGGAGTCGTACCTAGAATCATAGAATCATTAAGGTTGGAAAAGACCTTTAAGATCATCGAGTCCAACCGTCAACCCAACACCACCATGCCCACTAAACCATGTCCCTAAGCATCTCATCTACACGTCTTTTAAATACTTCCAGGGATGGTGACTCCACCACTTCCCTGGGCAGCCTGTTCCAAGGCCTGACCACTCTTTCAGTAAAGAAGTTTTTCCTAATGTCCAGTCTAAACCTCCCCTGGTGCAACTTGAGGCCATTTCCTCTCGTCCTATCGCTTGTTACTTGGGAGAAGAGACCAACCCCCACCTCGCTACAACCTCCTTTCAGGTGGTTGTAGAGCGCGATGAGGTCTCCCCTCAGCCTCCTCTTCTCCAGACTAAACAACCCCAGTTCCCTCAGCTGCTCCTCATCAGACTTGTGCTCCAGACCCTTCACCAGCTTTGTTGCCCTTCTCTGGACACGCTCCAGCACCTCAATGTCCTTCTTGGAGTGAGGGGCCCAAAACTGAACACAGGATTCAAGGTGCGACCTCACCAGGGCCGAGTACAGGGGCACGATCACCTCCCTACTCCTGCTGGCCACCCTCTTTCTGATACAGGCCAGGATGCCATTGGCCTTCTTGGCCACCTGGGCACACTGCCGGCTCATGTTCAGCCAGCTGTCAATCAGCACCCCTGACACGGTGAAGCCTCCCTCTGAACCCTCCTGTGGTCATCGGTGGGCTCTCTGCTCGAAAGGAAACGTCTGCAGGACCTGGTCCTGCTGGCTCTCTGGCCGTGTCCTAAGCAGCACAACCCATGGGCAAGCACAGCGAAAACCCGTGTGGAAGAGTCCAGATGGGGAAAGCACTTCAGTACACAGTGATAAGGCTCCCTTGAGTTGCAATTGTACATGTGTTCCAGTTCCTCATGTAGGGCCTTTAGTCACCTTGAGGCTGAGCCTTCAAAGCTGTCTTGAGCAGCCATCTTCCATTACTGCTCCTTGAGTCTTGACTGCTTGTGAGCTCCAGCTGAGGCTCCGTGGAAGGTATCTTGGAAAATCCTTTTGTCAGAAACTTGTCATACTAAACCTGGGTCTGTATTTAAACATGAAATTTCTGGGGAATATATCGAAAACTTGAACAACATTGCAAACCTTTGGCCTTTGGGATGGGAAAAATCTCCTAAAAAAACTTAGAGGCTTTGGGCCCAAATGCTGAGGAACACACAGCTCTGTAAGTCAAGCCTATGAGCATAATTTAAAATGTCTATTCAAAAGATTATGTTCAGTAAAGCATTTTTTGTTAATAATAGGCTTTTGACCACAGTTGTATTCCTGTTATGGGAATCACGAGTTGCATAACTTAGTCTGCCTTCATTTTAAATACATTTAGGGATGCTTGTTCAAGTCGGAGTCATATGAGGGGTCTCCACAAGTGGATTTCATCAGGAAGCTTCCCAAGTGCCACGTTTGAGAGCAGCACCGTGGCTTGTCAGGGTCCTGACTGCTGCGTCTGTGCTTGGGAGTGGGGGGATGCCGGAGGGGGCTCAGCTCTTGTAAATGGTCTCCCTGACTCAGTTGCTGCAGAACAGTTGATGTTGGCTGTGACCCGCTGGTTTTCAGATTCAGCTGCTCCCATACTCCCACGCTAGTTGAGCGTGCTAACTGTGAGCTCTGAGACTACACAATCCTTTGCTGTGGAGTTAAAGCCTCTGGCTGAAGAGGGGCTTCACTCTTTTGTTGGAATTGGTCTCATGTCTTGCACAGAGCTGTCTTCTTTGCAGTAAGCGACAGAGCAGTTTATGGTCACAGCCTTGTGTCTCTGTCAGTTAAGGCAAAGCTTAGCTGAGTGATGTCCAGTTTTGGATGGAAACCATGAATGTGAAGGGTGGGTTTGTATCTCTTATTTGGGAAATTAGAGAGTAGTGGGAAAATTCAACTTGATTTTAGTGTCCCTGTTGCTAAAGCTCTTGCCCTGTTTTTGTAGGTGAGGATCGCATTGATGTCCTGTCTGAAATCTGGGATCACTATTTTACAGAGACTCTTCCTACACTCCAGGCAATATTCTACCCAGTCCAGGTAATCTTAATTATAATTCAGCCTTCGGTCAGGTGAGGCAATGTAGCTGCAATATCTGCTAATGGCACATGGAAACTTCTCTTCTGTTCCAGCAGCACTGTTTGGCCAGTGGCTAAACAGGTGTCAAAACCTTTAAACTAAATCTGGAAGGAAGTAGAGTTTGCCCAAGTCAGCATTAACTGTGTAAGAAGGACTGCTAAAATCTACTGGGCAAGCACACTGTTTTGGACATTTGTCTACCCTCTGTCTGTGCTTAGCTAAGCTTGAACACTGAAACTATTGGACTATACCTTGTCTAGACTGAAGCTCTGGGCCATTTTGTATTTATAGTTCTTCCATTTTTAAACACCTGGGACGCTGTTGCTGCAGATGACAGCACTGACACTTGTCTTCAGAGGGACAAATCTGAAGACTAGATCAGGAGCAAATGTGTTTAACTTGCCCTGACTACTTTTGGAGGGCTTCTGTCCCACTTGTGCCTTTAGAAAATCCTCTGATGGGTTTTTTGAAGCTTTAATAAGGGGACAAGTAAATCTATGGGTAGAGAATGAATTAACAACTTTATGTAAGACCTGTTTACACTGGGTATTTTGAAAGCTGAGTATTCCATCGGAAGTGTTGAGCTGTATCATTTTTTAATGTACTTTTAGTCAGGGTTTCCATACGAGCAGTCCGATTACCTCCCCAGCCTATTTTGATCTTCTCTTCCATCAGAGGAAAAGAAAAATGTACCTCATGAGGAGACTGACGTTCGTGGAAATGCTAGTCTCCTCCTCTTGACTTTTGCCTCTTCCACAAGGCATGCTTTCCAGAGCCTTTTAAAATTATTTTTCCCTTGTATTGTTTGAAAGGCAGCAGGTAAAGCTCAAAGGTTGCCCTTTTCCTCTAATCCTATTAAAGTGGCATTTCCTAAAAGAGAAAGGACTTCTGTAGAGACAGACACTAACCTTTCTACTGTGTTTATTTTTATTCTTTCCTTGCTGCAGATGCTTAAAGGTAGGTGTTTGGCAGGTAAAACTGCACAATTATAATATCATCCCTTTCTCTCCTTTTGCAACTAATTCTCAGTCAGGGGGTGACCTAATCTATTTAAGCAGGGGTTTGTCTGCATTGCAGCTATCTATGCACTGTGGGAACTGTGTGTCATACCCACTTATCAGAAAAATCTACTCCCCTGCTATTAAATGTCTCTAATGAGAAACTGAACAAAAGTTACTGCACAGTGGGTGCAGCTTTTGGAATTAACTTGGTGGTAGTGGTGAAAGCGTGACTATGGGATGCTGAGATTCTTTGAAAGCCCAACTTTCTTACTAATTTGTCTTGTCACAATATTTGAGTCATTCAAAAGTATTTCTTAGAAGCTGTGAAGTTGGGGAAGTATTGCCATTTTATGGATGAGGAACTCAAAGGTAACAGGCAGCATATTTAAAGCTTTTTAGGCACCTAAGTCCTACACAAATATATGGATTTAAACTGCCTCAATACATCCAAGAATTTGAGTCTGAGTAAGCTGCCCTAGGCTACAACAGAGAGAGTTACTGGTTAGCAAGCAATAAGACATTGCTCTTATCCCAGGCCAGTGCCCTAATAGCAAGATTGGGCTCTTCCTACAAATAGGGAACTGTACGTATCTGTTTATACGGTGTGTCACCACATGTGAAGAGAGCTCGTCTAGCAAATCTCTTTCACCAAGTCGCAGGTCTTCACGCGCAGCTCTGGTAGATGGGAAGGTCAATTTGTTGTTGGTTCCCCATCCTTTGCTGCAAATGTCAACATGATTATTTAGTTATGCTCTTCTGTGATCCCAGCAACTGCCCGTTCAGAGTGAAAGTAAGTCAGCCAAATGTGTGAGCATATGTTACCGAAGGTAGTAACTAGAAGTAACTTCCCATCTCAGCTAAGTTTAAACCTGAGGCTCATAGCTGTTGCAGAAATATGACCTTTAAGCAGCCAAGTTGGTTAAATTGCTGTACAGAGGGAAACTATGTAAACAGGCCACTGGCTTTTGTATAGTTGCAGCTGTTGATGTAACTACTTGGTGTGGAAAAAGAATAGCAAATCTTGTTTTGTTTGGCACAGCAAAATGTTTGCATTTTGAAATGGGGTATGAAGTTAACGGGACTAAACTGCATGATATAAATAGAAAGTGTGCAGCTGCTGAAATATAGTTCGGAGATATGTACCGGTCTTTTCTACATCTCCATGTTTCTAAACACGCAGTGATGGTTTAAAACAGCAAAGTGCTTTTATTATGGCCAAGCTGCCCTCCAGACTATTGGCTTTAATTTGTATTTACATATTGATGATGCTGTTAATTATGACATTAAACCCATTATGAATTAATGATTAACTGCTGTTAATTCCTTCCAGCTAAATATTTGCCATGTTTAGTGTGTTATGGAGACCATAAAATGATTCCCAAACAGACCGTGGGGCAGAGATTAACGTGCTGGGAAGAACAAGGGAAACTCTTCAGGCTGGAAAGTGGTGGGCAGGGCTGGGAGGACAATTTCTGCTGTTAAGGTGCAGTGGGGCAAGAGAAAAAGCGGACGGATGTTAGGCATAGCACAGGGAAAGGCGGTAACATCAGAATGCCAAATGGCGTCCAACTGTGTTTAAATATATGGAGAATTATTACAACATCTTCATCTGTTAAGCCTGCTCATTTGTGTTGTTGATGTAAAAAAGTAACTGGGAGGACACAGAGGGCCTTGCAGTGGAAATAAAAGCTGTTGCTTTTTTAAATGATGTTTGGTACAAGCAGTCTCGCTAGCTTTGCTCTAGCCTAAATCCTAAAATCTGTAATGGACTGCATTGTGTATTTTTGTTATATCAGCAAGGTCTGAAGTGCAGATGTTGAGCAAAAAGAGGATCCAACACAGACCAGAGGTAGGCTTAGTTCAGGAATACTCTGTACCAACCTCTCTCCCTACCAAACCTTCTCTGGTTTCTCAGCTCTGAGTGGCAAAAGCATGAGCTGCACCCATCCTGGGCTTTGGATGTTTGTGACCAAATTGGACGGCAGTCGGGTTTCATGAATGCAAAATTCTTTTGGTGAAATACAGGCCCATCTTTGGCTTCACTCCAAACCTAGTGGTGCCTCAGATGAGGTGTTACTCATTTCAGAATTTGTGTGGGACAGAGACCGAGAGGGAGGTGACCAAAGAGTACCATGAATCCTCAACCTGAGCAGCTGGGGGGTGCTTTGCCGCAGCAGCAACAGGCAGGATAGACCCTTTCTGTCTGTGTGCATACATGTGTTGGTGCGATGCTCACACGTCCCTTTACCAACTCTTGGATTTTGCCTTCTGTGTTTTTTAGGGTCAGGAGTTGACTATCCGTCAGATTGCTCTTCTTGGCTTCAGGGACTTGGTCTTGCTAAAAGTAAAGCTGGAAGAAATTATTCCTCTGGTCCAGACAAAACTCCCAGCTTCCATTGTCCAGATGCTGTTAATTCTGCAGGTGGGGAGCCTCTGCTCTTCTTCATCTGATGCCACTTGGGTATCTTGACCTCATTGAACTAATACGAACCCTGGAAAGGAGAGTGGGGAGCATAGAGGGTGTGATGAAGGGGAAGTGATGTGCGTTTATTTGGGAGCGGTAAATGTAGAAATGAGAGCTGAATTTGAATGTCCTGAGCTTTCCTGGGAACAGGTAAGGATGTTGTCATGAAAGGACCGGGTTCTGCTCTTTGGTGTTTGTTTTTTTCTTGGTACCTCTCCTCCCCAGCTAGGAACAGTCTCAGGACTCTTTTTTCACACAAATTTTCATCTCCCAGCTTCTCTGAATCCCTCTTTGTGCCCTAGTTCTCCTAGTTTCTCACTCTTTTTTCACACAAATTTTCATCTCCCTGCTTCTCTGAATGCCTCTTTGTGCTCTAATTCTCCTAGTTTCTAAGCTTTGCAATGACAGGGCGAGTCTCCATCACAGTGGATTGTGGAATTTGAACGAGCTGTGGCTGCTGGCTGCCCGACGCCAGCCCCTCGGCTGGCTGGGATGCTGAGCAGTGCCCATGAGAGGAGGATGCTATACATCTTCCAAAGGCCTCTCCCAAGACACCCAGACCTTCTGTGAGGACTATCCTCTTTATCCAGACCTCAAAAGAGTATTTTCCAAGCATGCCAAATACAGCCAATTATACCAGCTGTTTTATCTTTTTATATCACCCAGCCTGACAGTCCTGCAAAATACCATATTACAGGTGGCTGTTTGGGTTCCTCTCACTTTTATTTCTTCTTTGATGTACCTTATAATGAGTGGTGGGGAATGAAACTTTCTGAAGTACAATCAAAATTGCAAAGTGGCTAAGCTGGTATTTCTGTATGAGTTCTTACTGTTCTGGTGTTCCTCGTGACCCAGACTATAATAGCAGGAGATACTAAAATGCTAGCTCAATTTCCCTGAAATATTTTAATAAAAGAATCTTGAGGGCAAAGAGGGTCTCAAAGCGATGCATTTGAGAAAGAAAAGCTTATGGAGGCTTTGCAGGAAGTTAAATCTGTGAACGGTTTCTGAAATTACTCTTAAATTGGTTAGTGTTATCTACCATCTTCACAGCTGTAAGCTGAACTACAGAGGGTGCTTTTTCTGCGCTCCTGCCTAGGAAAAGAGCAGTGCTTTGCCCAAGGTGTGTTAAGGCTTTTCTACAAAGAGACATTTCCTGGTAGAACTGCCCTGGTATAATTATATCGCTGTAGTTACACTGTGCAAATCCTCAGTGTGAGCATACCTTGTACCTTCCTATCCCTTGGTCAGAAAAAAGACAGCTAGCTGCTCAGTGTCCATAGGGTTATGGCTATGACTTGAACAAGGAGATTGACCTGAATGGCACCCGAACTTCCCATTTGGGCTTATCAGCTGTGCTCCTCAAATGGTCTACCGATATGGTTGAGATATTCCAGTGCAGAGATATTTGACAGACCCTAGGCTTTACTCAAAAACCTTACTCAAAACTATGTAAGGTTAATGTTGACTTTTTATGTTTGAATTTCAGAGTGTCCATGAACCTACTGGCCCCAGTGAGGGCTACCTGCAGCTGGAAGAACTGGTCAAGCAGGTGGTATCGCCGTACTTGGGTTTGTGTGAGGATCACAGCTTCTCTGGTAGCACCTGCTTGCTTGGTAAGACATGCACATCGTACAGAAGCTCTTGTTGGGGTACACAGGTTGGTTAATGTGAGGCAGTGCACATCTGTGCTAGAAAAGGAGACAGCGCATGACTCCATGACAGACAGAAAACAAAGGCTAAAACACCCTCAAGAAGGTCCTGATTAATGTATTTCTGAATGTAGATTTTTGTGATGGGCTTTTTATTTTCCATGACCGAGTGAACTATTACTGCCCCACCACTGCACACACACACACGTGCAAAGTCTCCCCTCTCTCTGGAGATGGGCTGGATTTTAAAACTCCCTGGTCCATGCCTGACGTACTGCTCTCATCCCGGTCCTTTGCTGCCTGCTTTCTATGCTTGCTTGCTAGCCCGCTTTGGCTGCCTGGATTCCCACGCTCACTGCTGCATCAGCCAGCATTCGCAAACAGCAAAACTGTTGCATGCTCATTCTGAGGGATCACAGGTTTTTTTTGCATGGACTCTTCCTTCCATCTGAGGACTCTGTTTGGGGGGGGGGTGGAAATCTGTGTTTAAACTGTGGATAAATGGGTCTAGCTGAGAGAACTGGCACTTTGCTTCAGAAAGGGGATGCTTATAGTGGAAAACTTCTCCACACATGATCCAGGAGCTTTGCTTACACGCATGGCCAGCCAGAAGAGATTGGCTAGCTAAGAAATGGATGTAGTGATACTGATTTCATAGTAAAGAAGGTTTAAATAGAACAAGTGAAGAAAGCTCCAGTCTCCCTCTGTTTTTATAAGCTTTAGCCATTGCTTCGATGCAAATTGTAGCAAGCTGGAGACACACAACCTGCCTTGTTCTACACCTTAGCAGCACAGGGGAAAAGATGGTCTTGCAGTAGGAGGACTTACCAGGACTCAGACGATCTGTGCCTGTAACAAACTCATGGCATCACTTTAGGCAAGCTATGGCTCATGTTTTTTGTTCTTGTGGTTGTCGGGCAATTAAGTATCTTTCATGCAAGTGAACGTGGTTATACAGTTCAGCATGGATTTGCAGACCTGATCCTGAGGCTAAATCTAGACCACATTCCCCCATGAAAGGTGATCTTTGACAAATTTGATTGTTTTGCTGTTTATGGACATCTGCATGCTGCTGGGATAGTTTGAAAGGTAGCTGCCTGACCTGTACTGAAGTTTCTAGCCATCCTGGATTTCCGCCAGCTGAACAAGGCATTAGTGTCATTAAAAAAAAATTTCACACGAACTGGCCTTGTAAAGTGTATGTGCCTTAAAATCATTGTATTTACTCTGATTTTAGCTGTTATTTGTGTGTATTTCCAAGGTGGCCTTTTGCCCTTGCTCCACCCTGTGCTGAGCAGGAGGAAAGAAAGAACTTATGTTTGCATTACACGACACTGACAGCAGAGCAGCACTTTTCTGCAGATAATCTTGGTATTTTCAAAGTGCTGCTGTGGCGGTAGTTTCTTTTCCTTAACTCCCACTTCTAATCAAACTTCCTTCTCTTCCTCTCTCCCTCTTTCTGTCACCTTTTTGCTTTCTCAGAACCAGTTTCTTCTCTCACTGGGCAGCCTGTAATGACGATGAAGCTCACTAGCTTCCCTTTCGGAAAGGCACTGTTGGGCTTTGGATACGCTTACAGTCTCAACAGATGCTGTGGAGGCCAAACAGCCCTCTGGACTGGAGCCTTCAGGATGAACGAGTGTTGAGAAATGCGACTGAAGGTGTCTGACCACAGCTGTGAATACACATAAGGCTCCAGCCTGCAAGCTGCTGTATCTTAAACTTAATTTAAAGTGAGAGAGGAGTGCAGCAGGGGGTGAAAGGGGAAAGGGGACAGGACAGGAGTGAAAGGGGACAGGACAGCTCACAGAGGGGATTCGTAGAGGGCAGCGTCCCCACTTGCTCTTCTGTTACCACCCTTCTTGCTTTGCCCATGTAAATTAGCCGTAACCTGCATTGTAAGGGTGGAATATGCTGAAGGGATCCAGTTGTCTAAGAAACAATGTTTAAATTGGGAATAGGGAAGAAGATAAAACATTCACTCTATTCCCCCCATGTATTAAACCTAACATCACTGCTGATTTGAGTTTGCTTGCAAAAAATCCCTTAAAAACTCCTCCCAGTTTATGGGAGTTCCTGGCCATGACACACCAAAACAGAAATAAAATTTATAGTTAAACTATGCATGACAACTCCCTTAAGAGACTGTCTTTTGTGGCCAAGAAAGTAAAGGGGGAAAAGTAAAGCAATAAATGAATGTTCAGAGTTTAGCCTAATTTTTACCTCCCATCATAAAGGATTTTAATTTTGTTGCACAAAAATTGTCTGTGGATATTTTTTCCTCAAAAGAGTCAGGTCATCCCTCCCTTGAAGAGAATAAACATTGAGAAATTCCTCACTGTCCATCTCTCTTTCATTACCTGGTCAGTCATATGTAAGCCATTTCTACAGCTAACCTGCTCTTAAAAACTTCCACTGAGGGAAGCTCCTCAACTCCTCTATGCAGTTTCTTGCAGCCCTCACCCCTGGCATTAGAAAGCATTGCTTAATGTCTTAAGAATGTCTTCGCTATTGTTGTGGGGAGAAAATAACAGCAGAGACTTATCAGGTCTTAACTTAATTAGCAAGTTCAGAAGTCAAAAGCCAGGCCTGTTTCCTCAGTCAAGCTGAAGACTGAGTAGCCTTAGTAGATGGCGACCAAACTGCCTTTCCTCTTCTTGTGTTAGTTACACAACACCTGGTCTCCTGTAACCACCCAGGCAAGCCTTCTTAGTCATAGCTCTTACAGCTACCACTTCAGGAAAAACGTTTGCTGCTGGGTGGAGAACAAAGAAGTCTTCTAAATTCTTCCATTGAGTGCCACCAGCTCTGTCACATGTGCTTCCAACACACGTTTCACTGGAGTCCTACCCATTTTTCTGTGACAGCAGGATACTGGACCATTCCTGTGCTGCTGTGAAGCTGGATAATTCCTGTGGCTACATCAGATAAAATTTGAGCACTTTGTCCTTTAACCTCTTCAGTTTATTTCACACCACCACCACCTTCCTCCTTCCTCCTCTGTCCCAACTTCTGTGGAATTTTATGGTCAGGGATTGACACAGATGAAGGTCTAGGTTATCAAAGGCATTCAGGTACTTAAACAGTTGGGTTTCCAAGTCCACCAGTGAAGTGCTAGAGTTGTCCTGGCTGGTGGATAAGACTGCTGTAAGAGGAATTGGAGGGGAGTTTCGGTAATTTTCAAAACCGGCGTTTTCTCTCACTTGGTTAATTCTTCTGCTGCCTACTACAGTGTTTCACATTCAGCGGTATCTGAAGCATAGTGTCTGTTTGAGCAGCACCCTTATCATCTCAAAAGATCATGGTGGCAAGAAGAGTATCGTGAAACGCTACTGTTTCTGGGACAGAAAGTAGCAGCTTGACTGTAACAGAATAGAAGGGAGGAGAAGAATTAAAGTTTAGTTTCTCCAAACTAACGTATGCACTGGGGGTAAACTGCTATCGATCGCTTGCCTACTTAAAAAACATGCCATGTGAATGCTGACTAAATGTCGGTCTACTTTTAGCATAAATATGCTCACGCTGGTAACCGGCTGCATGGTTTAGGCGAACAGCAGCCGTGCTGTGGCAGCATGAGCCCCAGCGCACGCTGCCTGCCTGTCCGTCCAGAGTCCTGGGTGGGTTTGTAACCTCTGCTCAGTTCTGGGCTCAGCTCATTGCAGGACGTCTGGGTTAAAGGAGTTACTTCAGTATAGTCAAACTCAGGACCTTTGCTTTATTTTTGCACGCAGGAGGTGGTGCAATGCTCCTGTTTCCACGCTGATGTAGGTCTGAGGGGAAGAGTGAGGTCTTCTGAATTACTGTTGGTGTTTCCTTTGATACTAGCAGGTTTTTACAATCTCCCCATCCACGTTCTGATTATATTCAAAAGCTGAATGATGTCAGACTTTGAAACATGGCATGTGCATCAGCTTTGTGCAGTCTGCTAGTCAGTGAGTGTGTGTATGTACACACCCATGCAGACGTGTACACAAGTACATACATCGTGTATTAGCCTGTGAAATGATGAATACAGACTGGCTGGATTGCAAACTACCACAGTATCTGATGTAACTAATGATACTAGTAGACCATTTTACCACAGCAGCCAAGGATGTGACAGAAAAGGATCTCAGGGTCTCTTTGCCAGTTCATGTGAAGGCAGGATCACCAGGCTGGGCAGGAAAAATTTTATATTATTGCTTCCTATATTATGCTTGCTCTTAGTGGACTTTAAACTCTTAGGTCATCAGGCTTGGCTCTTTCAGCAGCACTAAAAGTTTGCACACAAAACTGGCACTTTTTTCTCACGGGAATGTTTTTATTTATCTATTAAGTGAACATTAGGCCATGACCATGATTTTTCTTTTTCCTGTGTATCCTAGCTGTTTGGGAAGGGCTGCAAGCTGTCCCTGTTTAAATGAAGCATGTTTTAATTTTGAATGTGTTGTATAGGAACAGAGAAGAACAAAGATTTAGCCCTTGCCTACAAAATCTGCAGCTGTGGAGTCTGGAAAGTCGGCAGCGTTTTGCACATTTCAGTTTAATCTCCTCAGACCTCTCTAGTTAGCTAAGGCACCTCTGCATAGCTGAAGCCCCTGCAGGATAGGCATAATGTAAATATTAAATCATGGGATGGGGGAGTACAATGAACCATTACCTCAAGAGGCTACTGAGCTCTCTTTCTCCTCTCAGCCCAAGAGCTGAACAGCTCTTAAAGGTGTCTGACTTCCTAATGTAATCAGGAGATGGGCACCTAAATGCGTTTAAAGATCTCAGCCTGGGTCAGTCACGTTGCAAGTATATAACTGCCCCCACCACTCGATACTCTCTTGGTATCAATACTTCACTTTGTTCAGAAGTCAGAAATGAAGAAGCCCTGATAAGTACTGGTGAAGGTGGAGAAGCAGCTGCTGCTAATTACACCGGTGTTATTTTGGTCTTGTCTATGCCAGGGTCACTTCCCAAGACCCAGGCCCGGGCAGCAGCAGAACGCTAACGCAGTGCGCGGGGTTTGGTGATGCTGGTGCTGTGCTGGGGTGCTCGCCTGCTGCTGCCCTGCCTGCTGCTGCCGACGGAGCTGCGAGGAGGGGTGCAGAGCGGAAGGATGCTTGTGTGGCTCCCCCCCCGCCCCAAATTACTTTTTCCCAATGCCCTTCGACACTACAGTTTGCTGTGGCTTGAGCTGCAGATGACACCTAAACAGTTTATTTAATGTAACCAACCTCAAAAATTATTTGCACATACTCTTAAGCACGAAATGAACTGTTTTGAATGAATGTATTACTGGCAGCAGCGGGGTGAAGTGTTGTCATAGCGTGCCTGCTGCCAGTGGTGGAGCTTTGGCTGCTCCCCCTTTCCTCCCTGCAACAATATAAAGTTTGTTTTCTGCTTTTCTTCCTGATGCAAGCTTCCAAAACTCTTTCATAACCTTCAGTGACGAGTGCTTTGCTTTGCATTTTCTTACTCTCTCTCTTATGCTCTGCATTCTTGGTGGAAGCGTTTTATATGGTTTAAAGGCTTCCGACTTTATGAAATGAGACCCTGCACTTCAAGGAAGTTGGTGAGAAACAGAGACACAGGTATGGAATAGCATTATCAGCTGCTTTGGGGATAGACCACCTGAGGTGTTTAACACCACATGGCAATGCTGCACGGCGGTGGAAGCATTCACAGCAGGTGAAAAGTAATACTGTCTGATGCAACCTGCTGGGGAGTGAATTACAGCGAGCCAAGGCACAAACTCAGGCCCCTGCTTTTCTTACAGCTTTCAGTGTCAGAATTGAAATGGTGCTTCATGATACGGGGTTGGGGACTGCACCTTGGGTTTGAGTTTTAAACCAGGCATTTTTCCCCCTTAATATTTTTGTCGAGCAGATCGTAGACGCTGCACCCATCAAATTCTGTGTCGCTGCCTTCACTCAGTGCTCCACAAGTACTGCCTTCCTATTCTGCACCTTTCCCCCGAGCTGTTGCTGTGCACTGTTAGGTGTTTTCAGTGTCTAGCCCCAAAACCAGACATGTTTTAAAGTGGATGAAATGTTCTTTTTCTTGCATAATCTTTAAAAAATACAGTGGGATAATGCTAGCAGAACCGCCTTCCCTAGGCAGCTGGAGAGGCAGCGCCATGTAAACATCAGGAATTTCATGTTGGCACCAGCTAACGGCATCTCCTGAGAGAAATTTTCCAGAGAAAGGGATGGCAACTCAGGTCCTCACTGAAAGTTTCTCTGGGGGCTCGTGCCACTTTAGTGTCACTGATTTAAGTGAACCTGCATGTGAAAGCTCCTACTCAGTCCTCACCCCCCTGGGTAAGAGAGGAGACCATCAGGATGCTGAAGAAAGTCCCTTTGCTGCTCTTGTTACTTTTTGTCTCACTGGCACCATTGCCTTACAGCAGGATGGGAGGTGTCTCTTCACCGGGGGAGAGGCAGACCTCCTTTCCAAACCCCTGGCAGCATGAACTAATGAGTACCTGACTGTTCCCCGGCGGTAACGAGGTGGGATGCTCTGTGGCTGCACGCCGAGTCCTCTCTGATCCCTGAGGCCAGCCTAGCAGTTGAGGCGATGCTTTTTCTGTGCCCTAGTGACCGTTCCTGCTTCCTTTTTCTCTTCCAGAGAGACGGTACTCCAGATCCCGTCCAAAGACTGGTGTACTGAATTATTCATCTCACGTGGTGACGAGCCGGCAGCCCAGCGAGATGGCCCTGACCCCGCTGACAGAGCAGGAGGGTGAGGCTTACCTGGAGAAATGTGGTAGCATCCGTCGCCACACTGTTGCCAACGCTCACTCAGATATTCAGCTCCTGGCAATGGCCTCCATGATGCACACAGGCATGGTGGTTGAGGAGTCAGACAGTACCGACAAATGCCTCCTCCTGCAGCCCAGTTTTAGCCACAGGCAGTGCTCCAGTGAGCCCAGTATTGCCGATGGGCCAGAGGGAGTCATGGCAGAAGGTAGGCAGGACTCTGCAGAGCTGAACTGCACGTCGGTCAGCTAGAAGAAGTCTTGCTGAGGAGTGGAGAACTTTATGCACTAAGCTGGACAAAGTGTCGTGTCATCCCTGCTGGGAAAAAAGAGAAAAAATCGAGTTTTGCTGATGTCACTGAAATGGCTTTGAGGGATCTTATGTCTCTTTGGGAACGCTCTCTAGATTTGTTTTTCTTGCCTGTCTGGGATCATTGTTGACGGAGGTACCAGGCTGCTCCCAAATGAGCACTGAGGGCTGCAAAGGTTTCGCTGTTGAACAGCGCAGTCTACCTTCTGTAAGCTTTCTTCCTCTCCTAGTCCAAACCCTTTGGCCTCAGGTTTCCTTCTGTTTCTTTGGTATGATACAAATTAGCCTCTTTCTGCTTTTCTCCATCTTTCCCAGCTTTGTGCTGTTTGTTTGCTGTTTGTTCCTGCAGCAGAGAGCTCTGTGCTTAAATGGTCTCTTTGCTTCTGGCGCTAGGGTGGTGATGGCTGAGGACTGCATTGTTCTCTTTTAAAGTTGAACTCAGGGATGAAACCATTTGCATCCTGCAGAAAGATCTGCTCAGGTGGCTTGTGAGAGGAGATCCTTCACTTTGCCTCCCATGAGCATGGATGAAAAGTCCAAATCTGAACAAATCAGACTTTTTTTTTCCCCAGACCTGAAGAGAAATGAATATACATGGAGTCCCAGCTGAGTACTTCATATGTACTTTATTTGGTTCCAGTCATATCTTTGGGGATAGTGGTGTAAATTGGGTGCAAAGGAGGGGTGGGTGTGTAAACTGGGGGCAAAATATAGTCCTGAGCATCCTGGCATTTGGCATCAATTTGCTCTCAAAATTTCAGTGGTGGTAGGGCTACAGTGACAGGAGAAATCTAAATGGATTCCTTTGGGAAGGAGACGCTGGGCAGAGTCTGCACTTGTGCGGGAGACATAAAGGTGCTTCTCAACACTGGGCCATCGTGATTCCAGACCAGGAGGTGACGAACAGGATTTCGTCCTTGGGTTGCTCTGGTACTTTTAGCACTTGCAGACTTCGTAAGACCAAAGATGGCCAGCAGGGTGTAGAAAGGAGTCCTGTCTCGGTAGCGTATTCATGAAGTGCTCCTGACCTCCAGTGGTATCTGATGCAGCACGGTGTTGCTGTTAAGATAAAGTGAGGGCTCTTTCCGGTCTCTGTTTTTGTTTCTATTTTGAAGATTAGGAGTGGGTCGAGTTTGCAAGTGTCTGTGGCAGGCACTGCAGTCCACAGTGTCTGCTTTGTAGCATCGCTTGGTACTCAAATGCTGCTTCTATGGGAACAGAACCAATCTGTTCGAGCAGTCCCCTAGGATACTCTGCTGATGTCTTGCTAAGCAGATTTGCAAGTGTAATTACAGGCTTAGAGGTGAACTGAAATGCTGCCTTAAATGTCAAATCCCATTAAAAATATGGATGTAACACCACTGCCACTCGAATCTAGTCCCTGTGGTACTGACTGTAAATAAATCTCTCTTGACAAGGAAACAGAAGGTTAGGATGAGCCTTCAGGATGTTTTTTTGTGTGCTATGACATTAACTACAGAATTTGCCATGCTTCTGTTGGGCATTAAGCATCTTCTGCTCCACCGGCTGCACCGAAAGTACAGCTCCAACCTGTCGGGATTTGGCCTTAGTAGCATGTGCAGCAAAAAGAAAGCAGACTATTATTTGGTAACAAAGCATCAGAAATACCAGCGATGAGCACAGGTCACACTGCCTTTGTAAACGAGGGTGTTGCTTTGTCTCCTGTGGCTTGCAAATGTTGAAAGAGATACTTGAAAGGGCCTTTTTCTTGCAGTCACCTAAGGCACCCTAGCTATTGGCCTTTGTGGAAATGCCAAGTGTTTCGATCACCAGCTGTGCTTACATGTTGAAGAACAGAGATTTAGTTGTGCTGGCTGCCTCCTTCTCGGAGCATGCACAGTCCAGCGGAGGCCAGGAAGATGTGGCGTTAAGCACTCTTCCCTTCAGATGGATTCTAGGATAATTTGCCCTCCTATTCATAAATTGGACTGACCAGACCAACTTATTTGTTGTCATCTGCCCCAGGGTGGCCATGGATTGTGGTGGAGCTTCAGAATCTCTGTGGTGACAGCCAAACCTAGCAGACCATGCTGGTCTTACCTTGGCATGGTCCCTCCAGTGTGGGGCAGATGATGGCATCTTGCTCAAAAGGAATTTTTTTGGCCCCTTGCAGTCATTCAAAGCCTTCTCTTAGTCACAGTGGGGCATGTGGGGAGGTGATCACCCTGCAGCATTTCAGTTCACTCTTACAAATGCTTTTCTTCTTTCTATTTCTCCTCTAACCCATTTGCCTTCTGTAAATACCCAAACCATTTGGATTAGTGAGCAGTGCCCTCTTTTATGGTGAAAATTAGAATGATTTATTTATTTCCTGACATATTCTTGGATCATCTTTAGGGCTAATAGGAATCCAGTCCTGGTTTTAACTTGAATTTCTTTTGTTTTACATGTATGTATAATTTGAATTCTTTTGATTTTGTGTCTGTTACTTTGCAAAAATTTGCACCAAGCCACTCTGAATCATGCACTTCCCCAGTTGTTTTGGTTTTGAGGGAGAATTAAAGCTGGTGGCTTTACTTTGTAAACTGAAGTAAACAAACCTTGTTCTGTAAACCACACTGAGGGTCTGGTCCTGAGCACCACTTTTACAGCCGTGTGAGGTGCACAAGCCTCTGCAAGCCCATACCTTTTACAGGCAGACTGGGTGAACTGGAAGTGATCGGAAGGCTGCACCCTGCGGCTGCCGTGTGAGGCTGGCACCGAAGGGCTGTGGGGGCAGACCTGGGGGGCAGCGCCGGGTGGCCGCTCTCCGCTGAGGATGCTCTCAGCCTGCAGAGGCTCAGTCCCCTGGAAGCGAAAACCAAAGACTCTGTCCCCGGGCCAGAGCTGCGGCGTGAGAAACACGTGCATTTTGGATACGGGGTTCTGGTCTGGGGTTACACTTCTTCGCCACTCACCATGTCACACAGCCGTGACAGGGGCACAGGGCAGGTCTTTTCTACCCTCATGGTCACCCACTTGAGAAAACCTCCTGGAAGAGCTGTCAGAATGGGAAGAAGGGATTTCTCTCACCATCTCTCAAAGTCTAGCTGTTACCTTCTAACTGGATAATTACCTAGACTGAGTCACTTCCCATCACACCAAATCTGTCTTCTCTTTTTACTCTGTCTCCTCTTCTTAAGGTAAGTGATTTATTCTCCGTGTCTCTACAGTTCTGTCATAAGCTTACTGAGGGGGCCTCAGCAGAAAGCTGTTCTTAGTACAACTGGCCTTTTTCCTGACATCCCCCATAGGCAAGCAGCATGTTTTTATTGCCAGCAAGCAGAGCTGCTTCAGTCCCCAGCTGGGTGGGCAGCAACCTGGTTTATTTTTTGTTTTTTTTTTTTCTACCTGAAGAAATGCAGTAGATCTTGGTGCTGGCACTGGTGGCAGCAGGGGGAGTGCTGCAGGGTTTGATTGACACTGAGGTAGGGTATTGCCCTTTCTTTTTAGATCCGAATGGCAATGGGTTTCCCTGGAAGGAATGGTCTTTTGATGCTTACAACCCTGAGTCGACAGACTGAAAATGCTGGGGTCTTACAGGCAGCCTGTGTGCCCCAGGGAGCAGAAACTGAGTGTCTAGTGAGGGACAAATTGTGGTGTTTATGGTGTACTTACTGAACTTCTTAATTCTGCTATAGACCCAGAGTAGCCAGTTTCCCTAATTGGATTCCCTGTTCCTTCCCAACCTGGCTCCTTCCTCGTGCCAGCAGCAGGGCTCCTGGGCCGGGCACACACCTCGTATTGTGTGGGGGGGTTTCCAGCGAGAGAAAGAGGAGTTGGGTGGTGGAGAAACTCAGCCAACATTGATGACACTGACTTGCACTGAGATGCCAGAGCCAGAACTGCAAGTTCTGTGCTCAGAGCAAAGGTGCTGCCTGTGCAGAGGGCTGCAGGCAGGGCCCTGCCACGACACTCGTGCTCACACTCTCTATGGGTCTTTCTCATACTTAGGAAAGGCTGAAGAAGGCTGATTTTTAAGTATTGGTGCTATACAAGTCACAACTGACATTCAGAGGCAGATAAAGATCTATTCAGCTGTGGAAATTGCAGCCAGCAGAAGTGAGTGACTGTGTTTTATCCAGTGATTTTAGTGCAGCAGGCACCTCTCTGTGCCATAAGCTGGGGCCCCTCCTCACCGAGCCAGAGCTTCCCACGGCCCCACAAATCTCCCGTGCGGTTTGGTCAGTGGCATGTCTTCAGCAGGCTGTGGAGGCTAGGGGAGCGCATCTCCTGCTAGCCTACCCTTTCTGGTAAACCACCCACTCCTGAAAGAAATGTGCGCGTGATATCAAGCCACGAATTGGGTGTCTAAACTCCCCAAAGAGGTGGGGGTCAGGCTGTCTGCGCTCCCCGGCCACCCCCTCCCCGGCGCGGGACGGGTCTCTGCAGAGCCAGCACCCCTTCCCGCGCGGAGCAGCCGGCGGCGGAGCTCAGGAAAGCGGGTGAGAAAGCGAGACTTACCCTGGTGCAGGTGCCCCACGGAGCCCAGGGAGTTTCCCAGGGGAACGTGAGCTGGAAGTTCAGCCTGCAGTCAGCTTGTTTCTTGCTCACAAACACTCTAGCTCCATAGGAAAGTCGCCGCAAATTTTCCTCTTAATTCAAAGTGGGAAGAGCATGGCTAGTGTTTGGTATCTTCCTGAGCAAAGAGGACATAATTAGTCGTCCTGTTCATTTTTCAAATGTGGAAAGCGGATCTGGCAGCACGACAACAGCGTAAATGGGATTTTGTTACTTATCCACCCATTTGGAGAGTGCTTACTGCCCCCCTTGCAATCCCAACAGCTCCCGGTGAGGGCACCAAGCACTTAACTAAATAAACAAAAGCTTCAAAACAGAAATGCCAGCTTTTAAAGCAGTTTAGCAGCAAAGGAACAGCACATTCCTATTAATACGGTGCTCAAAATTGCATGCAGTAAAATAGCTGCCACTTCCCACCTGAG